CCAGAATATTTCAAGAAAAAAAAATAGTAATACAGAAAAGCAAAGAAACACCGTGTTTATAGTCCCTTTAGACATAACTAAATAAATAATTTTTGTGTCATACAAGCATTTTGCATTATACAAGCAGAGACTTCCACAGCCGCATGTCCCGGGTGCCTGTTACTTACATCTGCACATGAGCATTATAAAGCGGTCGCCCGTCAGTCAGCTCATTGCATGTATTCAATATCGGTTCTCATTTTAGTATCGACCTGGTTCTTTTGAGGTCACTACTAGACACTTGATATTTTCAGCCAATTCTTGATGGTAAAGCATCTGGGTGAGGTGTAATTCATGTGTTCAGTATTTCCCTTACATCATTCACTAGCTGGCCCAGCAATGCCAGTTTCCTCTTTCCTGAATGCCTGATGGTAAACTGCCAGTATGCACAGCTGCAGGTGAGACACCACTTATCACTTTGCTGGATTGTATATGGTCCTGATAAAAATAAAGGAACTATGCTAATGAAGTATAAATGTAATATAATTGCTGTCTTCAGATTTCACACTTCAGTGAATTTGTGTTCTTCGTACCTGCTAATATTTAGTCTGTGCTTATATCATGTTTTTTAATTTAGTGATTTCAGCGATTTAGTGATTTTATCTTCTGTTTTAAGATAGTAATCAGTCAGTAGTTATTTTGGTTTAGAATGTAATGTTTTTTTAACCCTTTGTTTGCAGATTGTATAGCCTACGTATATACATGTACCTTGTTTTCATAATCTCATATTGCACATTGTTTGAAGGTGAACATCAGACGAATAATTTTTTTTTCAATGATGGATTAAAAGTAATTAATTTTTTTATTGAAATTAAAAAATTGTTGCTTTGAAAAATAAAAGCGGTTGTGACATTGTGGCAGCGAGTGCAGAAAATGTTACTCTTTTAAATAGTTATTACTGTTCTTCTGAGTCAGAACTCTTTCTAGAACATTTTAAGCTACTTAACGTCAAGCTAAACACAGACAACTTTTTCTGAAATTATTACACTTCATTGATCACTCACTCTGCCAATTTTTTAATGAGCTTGTTTGACTGGTAAATTAAAAACTTTGTTTTACATTTACAGTACCTAAGTTTGAATATTTCTACTCCTGTCCAACTTCATATTTTGCTCAGTTCCTGTCAGTATTGGACTTCCAGTGTCAAGGGTGCATTAAATATGATACTGCATGCACATACAGTACACAGCTGATTCAGTGTAGTTTTTTTAGTGGACCACTGAATTTAACATGTGACTGGACAGATGGGGTCAATATGAAGTTAAGAGTTTAGTCTTTATTACTTATAATAATAAATAGATGAACAAAGTTCTCAGCTTGATTTGAATATGTAGTTTGCAGTTACTCTACACAAAATAAAAATTTAAATAATATACTTCTAGTTAATGCCTTAAAGGACTTTATAACTTTTTTGTCACTGTGTCTTGCCTCTCTACAGGAATATGTTCGGTTAGTTGGGCCCTGGTGCCAGGTGAATGTGGGATCCTATCGTTTTGTTTTGGGTCATTGCTATCTGGCCAGCGGTGAGGGCCAGAAGGTAAGAACATCATGTTTGACCTGCTGTAGCCGCCTCCGTTCAAGTGCCATGTGCGTCATCTCTTCCTCATTGCTACTAGTTAAAGCACAAAATAAACGTGAATGAACCTCAGAAGGTATGTTGAAAGATACAGTACAATTTAACAAAGTGCATTATGTCTCATAATCAATCGGTATGTGTTTGAACCTCAGAAAGAGATCAATAAAACAGCTTGTCACAATGTTACATTTATCTTAGAAAAGCTGTTCAATGAGCATAGCTCGATAGTTAAGCTAGAAAAACATTAACTTGAGGAGAATTTTGCTAAATATATGTACTATATCAATATATATTCTTTATATATTTGCTTATGCTGTTTTCTATATTAAATGTTTGCTTGAATAAATCCATCATGAAAAGCCACTGTTTAAATGTTTATATTTCAGAAAAACAAGTAGAAACAATTATATCATTAAAATGTTCTTATGAAAAAAACTGCCTTATGAGCGGTTAAATTTTTTATACAAATCAGTTAATTGTAACCTTTAATTTATAATGTACCATTATAAGTCCATTGTGTTTGAATTTCCTTGTTACATTTGCTATATTTTCACATTTATAACCATGATTTGGTATTCCTCTTGTACCATCATCCTCTTTTGTGCAAAGAAATGTCTCCTGACAGTTCTCTCCCAAGTGGTTCAGTTGTTGTCGGCATTAAGTCTGATTCAGTGGGCTGTTACACTTTTAACTGTCAAGAAATTACTTCTCTTTAAATGTATTGATTCAATATATTCACATGTAGATCAAAAATTGCCTTTAACTTACACCAAAACATTTTTATTAATTTTTTTTTTTTATTAAATCTGTTTATTGAACTTTTACAATAACAAAAGGACACAGATACAGGAGAATCATGAAAAAATATCCCCCCCCCCACCCTATCCCCCCTAAAGAGATAAAAAAATAATGTATTAAAGTATAATTAAACAAACTAAATAAAACATTAAAAATAAAAACATAGAACGTCAAGCCTAATGTCTCGAGTATAGAATATATGTTGGAGCATAAAAGTTTAGACATTTCGACCATTTATCAAATGTATGCATATACCTCCACAAACAAAACCTTACAGCTTTAAAGTATATACATATACATACGTAAGTATCTACACATATAATCACAGACTCCTAACCAGATTCAGGCCACAGTCATATTAACATCTTAATGCTTAGGTTGACACACTCTAAGAAGAAGTACTGACATATTCAGAAAAAAAAATAATGAAGGGATTTAAACATTGAAGTACTCATTGGTAAATCAGAAATTGGAAAATGTATTGGATATAACTCACTTTTATTTATATTCAATTTATAGCCGGAGAAGAGGCTAAAAGAGTTTATAATTCTCAGAGCTTCGGGCAAAGAAACAACCGGTTCAGAGATATAGAGCAACACATCATCGGTGTATAATTTTATGAACCGCATCAGCTCTCCTAATTCCCTGTATAGCCTGCTCACTACGAATGGCAATTGCCAGTGGTTCAATTACCAGTGCAAAAAGCAAAGGTGAAAGTGGGCAACCTTGTCTAGTGCCATGTTTTAACGGGAAAATAGAGGAGGATACTCCATTGGCCCGAACGGAGCATACTGGGGAGGAATACAAAAGTTTTATCCAGGATATGAACGTATTGACAAAACCGAATTTCTGTAGCACATAGAAAAGGTAATCCCATTCCACCCGATCAAAGGCTTTCTCTGCGTCAAGCAGTAGAAGAGCCTCTGATGGGTGAGAATTAGAGGAATAAATTAAAACATTTTTATTTTGTAACTTTCATGAGGATGTACTCATTTTTTTTGCAATACAACATTGTATCACTTTATGTATTATTACTTTTTATTTTTTAATTTTAATTAATTTAGTTTTTAAATGAAGTTCAATAACATTCTGAATGCAGGCGTCAGCGTTGAACTGCTCTTCTGAAACTGAAAACAGGCACAAAAAAAAGAATTGTTTGGCTGGTTCAACTATTGTGCTATTATGCAAACAAAAAGGCCATTTGGCTCTTTAAACTTAAGGCAGGGCTACCGTAATAAGTGGGGTTTTTTTCTATTCATATATGTGCATTGCAGAACAAAAGGATTGTTTGCAAAATTGTTCCAAAAGCAGAAAAGTGTTGTGAAATCATGCCTATTTTGTTGGCCATGTGTGTTTTGTGGTTTTTAGGCATTGCAGTGTTTCCAGGAAGCAGCCGCTGAGGTGGATAAAGAAGAGTTTTTAATGAAACTCACAGGTTCAGATGAAGAGGCAGCCACCTCAACTGCCCCACGATTACTTTATTACAACAAGGTATGTGTCTGCTAGATGCACAGACCATGTTAAAATAGTGATTCAGTATCTAAATGGAGATGTAATGGTTCTAATTGTTTATTTGTTCAGGTTTTGCGGTTATTGGAGGATATTGGTTTGCCAGAGCTTGTGATTAATTTGGCAACTTTGGCCATATCTGAAGCTGCCAATGATGAGAGAAGCCAGGTAACAACGTTGTTTGTTTGTTTTGAGAACGATTAATCCATTACAGTAATTAAATTGTGTATTCCTGTCATGTTTTTTTTTTTGGTCTGAATTAGGGATGTTCATTTTATCGGTTAACCGTTAACCGACCGTGAAGAATTTTGACCGATTAATACAATCAGTTAAACGGTTTAAAAAGTCTTTTTTTTTTTTTGTAATTTATCAAAATATTTTAAAAGGTTTGCTGCAAAATACGCTAGGCGTATTTTAAAAAATCGTTTTTTTAGAGAGGAAAAAAAATAAGTAGCATTTTATTATTTCATTCAGAAATAGGCCTAATGCCGACTCGAAATGTTTACAAACATTATAATAAACACTATAAACATTGCTAGGCTGTTTTAGTTCCCCTCACTCCACAACAAATCCTTTCAATTAACAGTATTTAGAAAAGAACAAGAATTAAAAATATAAGAAGCTATAGCTATATACGACAAGCCAAAACAAATTAATTTAGGCTAAAACGAAACTGAAACCAACGTTGGGTCTCTCATTCCACACAAAATCAAATGTTTCCGTATTCGCGATGTATTTGAATGCCAAAATATTATTTATTATGTAGCCTACTTCACTCATGTTCCAATATCTAGTTTCCTTTCGTGCAGCACAAAAATGAACTGAAACTCTGCATACTAGGCTACTTGTTGCACAGTTTTTCTTTCGTTTTCTTAATTTATTATTTAAGTAAAAATATGTTTCTCGTATAGGCCTATTTATCGTTATATATATAGGCCTATAGCCTAGCTTTATTATGTTTTTCTGCGCTGGCAGAAGCGCTGCAGGTGCGTGATGTGTTATGATGACCATGTGAATCCTCATCTTCTGTTGTTTGCTGCTTTTTGCGCATGTAAAATGAATCCCAGGGAAACCAATGTTACTATTTTTTAACGGGTCACAGACACTTATCCTTTCTAATTTAATTAAATTCTAATTTAAAATAATCTTGTCGGTTAACGGTTAATAATCAGTTAACGAGCGTCGGTTGTCGGTTAGGAAAAATAACCGAAATGAACATCCCTAGTCTGAATACATAGCTACCTTTTCCCCTCAGAATGTGAATGTGGGTAAAAAAAATGATCAAATTAGATGCATATTCTTTCTAACACATTTTTTTCATTGAAAATAAGTTTTAAAGAAGAAAGAAAGGTTTTAAAGGAGAAGAAATAAAGTCCATTAAACTAGTTTAAAATGAAAGAGCCCAGAAACAACACGGACAAGGAAAACAGGAAAAAATCTTATGCCATACAACTACTTAGAAGGCTTTTCGATCCTCAGATAATCACCTTTATATACTATAAACATACTATAATAACAGTAACTGTTACCTATTGCAATTTGGCAGAAATGTGGATTATTTATAACATTTAAGTGTTAAGAATATCTCTTTGGGTTTGAGAATTTAGTCTTTGCAACTTTAGGGATCTTATATATGCACAAACAGTTTGTGACACTCCAGAAACAAAGGAAAACGTGAAATTGCATCATATGACCCCTTTAATAAGAATCTGACGCCTGTATTGTAGGCTGCTCTGTGGACTCGTATATTCAAGCATCATTTGGATCTTGGACACAACAGTCAGGCATACGAGGCCCTGACGCAGAACCCTGATTCTAGCAGGTACAGTGCACTGACATCATTTCCTTCTCCACAGTTTAAAGTGAAATACATGAGCTCTCGGTGTTGTCTGTGGTTGCAGGCAGCTGGACTGTCTCCGACAGCTGGTGGTGGTTCTGTGTGAGCGCGCTCAACTCCGGGATCTCGTCCAGTTCTCGTTTGTTAATTTACATGATGAGGTAGGTCAGAATACTCTTTCATAGGGGTGCTCCGATCTGGGTTTTTGAGGCCGATCGCCGATCACAGAAAGCAGTATCTGCCGATACGGATCACCAATACCGATCTTTTTAAAGCCTTCTTTTTATCATTTATAACTATTTATAGTGATAATCCAATCAGGATTTTTAGACATTTATTTAGGGCCTGAATTTCATTTTTGAAAATGGGGGGAATTCCCCTCTTAGGTGACTCTTGTGAGGAGAAGCAGCTTTCACAGAAGAGTCCACTACTGATCCGTGACTGTTTACCACAAACACAACATTTATCCATTATTCGTTGGATTTCATCGTTATCACAAACTTACCATTGTCAGAATTAGTCAGCTCTACTGCCTTTTCTGCTGCATTTAAATCTTTATTACAAGCAATCCTGTGGTTCATAAAGAACTTTGTTTTCCTACCTCCACGAGTGCCATCTATTATTGCCTTGTTTATCTAAAAGTGCTCTTTCCCTTTAAACCTTGCCAAAAAGCCATATGTGTTGACTGTGAAACACAGTAGACTTGAATAATATGCATTTATGGTGTAATTGCTACATTTTCGTGTCAATCCATGTTCATATTTACTGCAAACACTCTTACTCTTACTTTAAGTCAGCGCTTGCAGCGCAGCAATAGACTCGGTGTGGATACGATCTCTGCACTGCTGCAGACACACCGCTCCTGAACACACTGCCGGACCGCAACCGTGTGCAGTGTGCACGCTTTATTAATCCGTTAACATGAGCGCGGAAAAAATTAGTGGTCGACCGATATATCGCCATATATATTTGGCATTTTTTAAATATTGGCATCGGCCGATAAGATTTTCTGTTTGGCCGATGCGTTCGAGGCGGGACTTTTATTTTGACGGCGCGCCTGACTTTTATTTTGACGGTGCTGAGAACGGCAGCGCCTGAGCACACGGTGCTCACATTCTCCCTCTGATTCGCTGTTGTCGTTAACCGTTCTGTCTAAATACGGATAGAAGTCTGTCTAATAATCAGATAGAACGTTTAAACAAAGGAATTAAAATGTATACAAAAAGTCTTATAACGATTTTTTTTATATTATTAGTAATAGAAAGGCAAACATTATAATACTTTCTTGTATGCCATCAGCATTCAGCAAATACGCATTTATATCATTTAAACAAATCTTTGAATGACTAATGAACATTTAATTTCACAAAGCTTGCAAACTTGTCTTCAGGAGAGTGCGAGTGCTGAATGGATAAACACTGGCAAGAATTAAAAAGAAATGCAATTTATAAAATTTAGTGACGATGTGACACTGCCTCGACTGTGCAAGTGACAATTCCTGTGTCAACTGTGCAGCGTGCAGCTCGCTTATAGACAGACGCGATGTGGTGATGATTTGAAGCCATTTGCGTATTTTGAGAGATAAAGAGAGAGCGCGCGTGGTGATTCACTCACGCTGTTTGTGAAATTATGTCTCACACAAGGTTTTCAAATTACTTTACAAGTTATTTAATGAAAGAATATGAAGGTGAGCACCTCACCTTCAGCATTATAATTATTTCACCCGCACCAGACTGAGACGGTGCCGCTGCATGTCGTGCCAAACCTCTCACGGCAGCGTCATCAGCTTGAGATCGTTTTTTGGAGATCGGCCTTTTAGAGACTGCCGATCAATCATCCCAGTGTGATTATCGGCCGATAGTGATCGTAGCCGATCAATCGGAGCACCCCTACTCTCTCATACATGAGCCTTACAGGTATTTATTATTATTTCCGTTGTTGAAACATACTGTTATGGGTTTAATCTCAATTTATAAAAGCCTCTGTGACTTTAGAATAGGGACCAATTCTGACTATTAACTAGTTGCTTATTAGCATGCCTATTATTAACGTATTGGCTGTTTATTAGTACTTATAAAGCACATATTCTGACCATATTCTACATCCATAATCCTACCCAATACCTAAACTTAACAACTGTCTTACTAACTATTAATAAGCAGCAAATTAGGAGTTTGAGGCTAAAGTTAGTGGTTTGTTAATGGCGAGAATTGGATCTTAAAATAAAGTGTGACAGCGATCTGGTTAAGTATTACTTACTGTATATTTGATAATGGCTAAATGTTTTAAATGATGATATATGCTCATTAGGTGAAAGGAGCTTTACACAGAGGCTTGACAGTAATGAGTCTTGTGATGAAGACATATGCTGCTCATAAAATCAGGAAAGTGCTTTCCAGGAATAGAAAGGTTTATGGCTCCATCGGAATTAAAGTATCAGTAATAATATTCAGGCATCCGAGATCTCCTTGAAGAACCCCAGAAGAAAATTATAATCAGCCCAGCTGCCTTGAACAGGCATATGAGGCTTTTACTATTTTACTGTCAGTTTGGGAGACTGTCACACAATTATGCCTGAATTAAAATACAAATAATATGATGGGTTCCTGACTGCACTCACAAGACAAATCACATACTATAGGCCTAAATCCGTTTGCATTGTAGTAACTTTGTCAGCCCAGTTTAATTAAATAGATTTACTGAACTTTGGGTTTTTTTAAAACTACTTAGGTTTTTCTATCATCAAATCATATTTGTTTGTATAAAGCACATATTCTGACCATATTCTACATCCATAATCCTACCCAATACCTAAACTTAACAACTGTCTTACTAACTATTAATAAGCAGCAAATTAGGAGTTTGAGGCTAAAGTTAGTGGTTTGTTAATGGCGAGAATTGGATCTTAAAATAAAGTATGACCAAAGTCTCTGCTGCTGACCTCTGATAATGTGAACATGCAAATTATGTCACGGTTTCATTTTTTAATCTTTATTCTTGAAATGATTGTTAAACTTGCTTCTCCTGCATCCTGTTCTTCTGCAATCCAGAATGGCAGAGCGTACATTTGCTTTCCTTTTTTAATTTTCTTTAATAATATAATATGCACTATACTCTTGTTATATTCTAGTGGAATTAAATTGCCACCGCTGCGAGGTGGTTTCTAAAAGTGACTAAATTTAACATTGATTATTCTGTAAATTGATAATTATTAGCTTCCCCCAGCTGCCACTGCTTAAAAGTGCTTGAATTCTACTTATTGATTTCATAATGCACTTTTCACAAGTCATTCTTACAGTTCTGACAAAATTTATAGCCAGCTATATAACCTTATCTTTATGACACATTTCAATCCTGCAAATTCATGACAACTTTCAGTTTAAGTTTGCAAGTCATAAAAGCGATACATCATCATCAAATATGGCTATGTCTGTAGGCCATTCTTATTGTTTAGCCATGTCTTGAATTCTTACTTGTATTTTTAGTAGTGCTGTCAAAATTAGCAGGCAATTCATTTTTCGAGTTTAACGTTGTTAAAAATATATAACGCAGGGGCGGAGCTAGGATTGGCCACCCCACTCACAACTGCTGCTTCTGTCTCATTTTTTCTTGACAAGAATTGCGTTTATTTAGACGCAGAACGTCTTTATGACCACATCAAACAGGAGACTTTTCAGACGCGCGCTCCACTTCGCCTCAGCGCCGGGTGTGAGTCAAGCGAGCGCGGAAACGGTACAGGTGATGAGGAGCTTCTCAGTTGAGATGGTGTCAGGCCGTATGTCAATAATTTTCCTCTCCTGTCAGCCGTTATACTGTGCTCGTAGCCAATGTTCCCTCCAAGCTGCACGCTTCTTGCATCGCAACCGCGCAGAAGAAACTATATGCTGTGCACACTCAAAAACGAGTTGGGAAAGCATTTTGATTGAATTCTAGTAAATGCGAAATAATTGCGATGTTTGGGCAAACCGCTATAGAGTTGGTGTCGCTATAGTTAGAACCGGTGAATGTGGTTTACAGGTGTCATAGAAAGAGAATGATGTGCGCCAAGTCGTTTTAGAAATCGAATACTTTAATGGTTGTGGATGAAATATCTCAACACGACATGTGAAATAAAACATCATCATGATTAAAGAAGAGTGGCCTAATTAAGTGCTGGAAATAGCGGATGATGGGCACAGAACGGTAACAAAACTCAGAGACGTTTACAGTTATACACAGGTGTAGTAGTTTGAAAACTCTACATAGGGATGTTTAGATATAAGAGTTCACGTTAACGTTTGTGAAAATATTTAGCTTACAGATCTCAGTTTAAATGCTTCAGTTCATTTACTACTCTGTTCTATTCTATTCTGTCAGTTTAAATGCCACAGTTTGTTTTTATATATATTATATTATAAACCCAATAAATAATTGGGAATTCATGAGCAATAACTTAGTTAAAATTTACGCTCTTTTTTTTGTGTGTGCTAGGGCTGTGCAAAAAATCGAATGCGATTTTCGTGCGCATCTCGTCAGTAAAGCCGCTTCTGGTGATTAGTAGTAAATCTCCAGCATGTGCTTTCAGATGGAGAGGCATTTACTACATAGAGCCGTAGTTCACTGACAAGCTTTTCGATTTTTTTGCCCAGCACTAGTGTGCTCTGTACAGGTCTGGTATAAATAATGTTTTTGCTCTGGTAACCAAAATGTCCGCCCAATAGAGAAAAGTTTTGCTTCGCAAGAAAAAAAATTAGAGGGATCATTGCTCATAGGCCGTGCTTCTCAGTTACATGCACAAATGCGGCGGCGCGTGCTGTAGCCTGTATAATTTCATATTAAAGCGCGAATGAAACTACGAGCATGCGTGTCAGATCCGCATCAGCAGCGGCAGATCTTAAAGTAATAGCAGCCAAATAACCTAATAAGCCAGCTGCTTTGATGTCTGTTAATCAAAGAACAAAAGAAAAAAGAGGAAATCAATAACTTTTGTAGCTTTAAGGATTCATATTAAATTTAGAATTTAGTAAAGTCAAGTCACCTTTATCTATATAGCACTTTTAACAATACAGATTGTGTCAAAGCAACTCTACAGCATTAATGAGGAAAAGCAAAGTCACATTGTGCAGAGGACTCAACTGGTTCCTGTGGTCTTGCCGTCTAGGAGACAAGGTCCTCACTTGGGGATCTGTCTTTGTGGCTCATCTAGTTGTCCTGGTCTCCGCTGACATTCAGGGCTGTAGAAGTCCTCTCTAGGTGCTGATCCACCATCTGGGCTGGATACGTA